AGGAATAATAATTTCTACTTTCCTCCTTCTACTTCTCCCTGTACGAAGGAATGCAACAGAAATTCAGTCTGTTTTCAGGCTGAGCCATAATATAGCCCCTAAATAATATTCACTAAATGGAAAACGTGAGGTCTGAGACTAAAAGTCATGCTCTGGTGTGGCAGGCAGCCTGTACGCTGGCCCCAAGGATCCTCAGCTCCTGGCATTCACGCAGTCGTGTAGCCCACCCCGCTTCCCTGGAGTGTGGGCTGGGCTCATCGACTCACTTCTAACAAATAGAATCCAACACAAGTGATGGAGGCCAAGTTTCGGTAACAAAAAGGCTCTGTCTTCTGCCTTGGGTGCCTCTCTCGCGTTGCTCACCCTGGGGGACCCCAGCTGCCAGGTCCAGGGGAAACCTGAGAGGAGGCCCCAGCTGGAGGGATCAGGCTTGGCAATAAACACAGCGATGAGCATGGAGGCAGATCGCCCGCCCGGTGAGCCTTCAGATGACACCACCACCCCAGCCAGTGGCTTCACTGCAACCTCCTGAGAGACCCCTGCCGGGTCCCCCAGCTGAGCTGCTCCTGGGCCCCAGACCACACAAACTGAGATAATACGTGTTTGTTGTTTTAAGCCACTATGTTTGGGGGCTTGTCATGCTGCCATAGATAACCAGTAAATCTGGCTTCTTCAAAAGCCTGAAGAAAAATCTCCCAGCTGGCCTCCAGGTTAACCTCCGAGTCACCCCACCCAGCAGATAAATACCCACAGTATCATCTCCCATTTATGGAGCACTGACCAGGGGCCTCGCGCTGCTCAACGACCCAGCAAACATGATCTCAGGTAACCTTCTGGGGCCACTGGAAGTAGCACATACATCTTTTACTGGGGCCAAAAGGTAAGTCAACAGGCACCTGAAATGTTGAAGCCTGACTCTTTGCATTGCACACTCTGGTGTGTCCTGTGTTTAGTGACTTCAAAGGTCACACTCATCCCCAGGGACGAAAGAGTCTGTATATTCCTCGAAGATCATAACCAGAGCCTTTGGCGCCCCGGCCCATGCCATGAAATGCCAGCTCCGAGGGGAACCTGAGCCTCTGGGAACAGGCCATCAGAATGACCACACGGGGCCTCAGACGCTTATAAAACGTTGAAAGCCTCTTTTTCCTTTTTTAAGAGAATCCCACCACCTTCCCCGCCAAAACCAATTTCACATTTAATAACCCCACTCTCAAGAATTTCTGCAAATTTTACTTGCTCCTGTTTAAACTCTCTTCCTCTTGCGCTGTTACCTGTGAGGATGAAAAATGCCCAGTCAGGAACCTTCCACATGTCCATTCTTCTCTAAAAAGCAGTCTCCTCAGACTCCAGAGGGTCTCAACATCATGTGTTATTTTAAACAAGAGATGAGTTGGGTGATTTTCTTTTGAAGGTCGTTTAAGACGAAAGGTGCTACTGAACAATTACCGTAACCAGGTGCTGTTTCGCATCCTTTCAAGGGGAGTGGGAAGGATGGGTCACTGTGGAAAGAGGGCAGGGGCTCATCTGGCATCGTGCCCTCCAACTGGACCTCAGCGGCTTGAGGAGACACGTGTAGATGGTAAGCTGTTCCCTGTACGTAGGGAGGACATTCCCCCTGGAGAACACAGTCTGGCAGCTTCCACCTGAGCTGGCCCAAGTCCCCTTGAAGGTCACTGACACCCTCCCCCATCCTCTCCTGAAGGCGCCCCCTCTCTGCCAGCATGTGGCTTCATCAGCATCTGTACAGCCGCACTGTTTCTCCAGTGCGTGGAGGAAGGGGAACATGTTCCCCTCCTGCCCCCTCTCCACCCTCCCTCCAGTGCTGGGGGGAACTCAGGGGCTCTAGGAAGCACTTTAGCAAGAATCCAGATGACCTGAAGGCCCCCCCTGAGCCAGGTCCTCAAATTCCAGTGAGGATGGGAGATGCAGCAGCCCTGGCTGAGGTTCTGAGACCTGCCTACTTCACCGCTAGATAGAGTCTCCTAAAACTCCTAAACTCCTAAAAACAGTCTCAGAATAAAGTGGCAATGCTCCTACCCCTTTACATGCAACGTTAGTTGTTTGGTCTTTAATAGTAATAAATGAAATCTGATAAATATGGTGTTCATTTAAGAAATAAGGTTGGAGATGAAGAGTCCCCATGTTGTTGGCAGGATGGGCGTTCTGTTTAATAACTTCCAGGTCATCAGCACCTTTACTGTTGTGTTCAGAGTTGTAAGGCCATCACGGATTTCAGTCTCCCATGGTAAAACCCTAAATGGTGCTGAGATGGAGTTACCACTCAATGAGAGCCTCTGCCTCTCTGTCCTGGGTCCCCTCTCCAGTCCTGGGTCCCCCCTCTCAGTCCTAGGTCCCCTCTCAGTCCTGGGTCTGCTCTCAGTCCTGGGTCCCCTATCCACGTTACTCTCCTCCAAGCACATTGCAGGAGGCTGCCTGTCTGTGCCTGTCTCCCCATTGCTGCTGACTCTGGACATCACTGCGCTTATGTGAGCCTCTCTGTTCGTGCCTCTGCTTCCTTAGCCCCCGCTGTCTCCATCCCCGACCCGATGAAGGTATTGAGAGCCTTTGCTCCTCAGAATGAGCCCTGCACAGACCACGAGCCAGGAGGGAACTAGAAGCCTGGTCCCTGCCTGCAGTTGGCCCTGGTCATTTTCTGACGGAAGGTTCCAGGGCCCCATCTCTGGAGCAGATCTTGAGCCACTGGGGCCTCCACAGCTTTTCCTCCCAGCACTTTCCAGGGAGAAAGAGCAGAGCCCTGAAGTCAGACTTACTAGTTACTATCCTGGGGCAAATTGTTTACCCTAACTGAAGCTCTGGGAGTATATTTATAAAGTGTAAATAATAACAATATCATAAGGACTAGAAATAGCATAAACATGGTGAATGGCACTCAGAAAGAGCTCGTGCTCATGAAACTACCCATGGGTACAACCACGGGAACTGGAAAGTACCTCCAAGTCCAGAAGACTTGTTGCTGTACCACAGGGACTCCAGCCCCCAAACTATACGTGTTTTCACATTCTGAGCACGAACATCACCAAAAGCTACGTGAGAAGCGTGGAAAATCACCAGCTATCCCTAAACTACACTTGGGTACCAGTGTTCCAGGAGACACTGGCATGTGAGGAAGTCTAGCTCTGAGGCGGCAGAACTGGTGTTCTAGTCGTCAGGATGCAGAGACACCAGGCGCCCTTTCTCCCACAACAGAAGAAGAACCCTATCATTAGTCACTGTATCCACGACAGGGTCAGGATTATGTTTTAAGGGATAGTCTCCTCTCAGAGAGAATAAAACCACAAAGGTATAGCTGAGATCTCTCCCCACGGGCTCTAAAACTTCTAGGTAGATACTGGGATTTTGGTTTTGTTCCTGAAAATATATTTGAACATCACACGTGCGTGCACAGATATCAAGTCAGTCCTGGAAGAATAAATAAGAAAACAAGGAGAAAATGGTTGGCAGGAGGGCCTGTCGCTTTCCTAAAAACCCTTTCAGGGCGTTCACCTCCAGGCAATCCAGTTTTCTAGAAGCCTTAAGGTAGCAATAGTGATTTAACACACTGTTTCTGTCTCTTGAAAAACTGCTCAAGACCTTAGTTGCCTTTTGGTTGATTAACTGCACAATAACGAGTGTCATTTGTCCTAAAGACATTAATGGGACTTGTTTCTAAGCACATTTCCTTCTTTATGCTTTTGTCCCAAATTTAAAAATGCATAGATGCTTAAAAGCTTATAAAAATGTGTCCCAAGGGTCTCCCCAAACAGGCAGAGTCAACAGGACTCAAGTGTCGTCGTCAAAGACTCTGAGACTCCGCGAGCTCATCGGGGACTGGACACAATGGGGATCAGACCCACAGAGTCTTGCAGTCCCGTCCTCTCTCCATAGTCTTCACTCTTGTACGCTCTGAATGCTATGGTTTTGTCTACCTGGGCCACCAAAAACAATATGATGTGAACAGCACCCCGTCTGTCTGTGGGGGTTGTTGCCAGGTACAAAACATGATCCCCAAGTTCCGGTGCAAGCTGTCACAGCCTTCCCTCACCCCGGGCCAATGCATGTCATGATGCCTGTTGGAATATCTGAGCCCCGACCTGATTCAGTTATCTGATATGGGCTCAGCCCTTACACACTTCGACATGTTAAAGATGACAAAAGTCAACCGGGGAGACCGGGTCCCAAAGGCTGCAAGAAGTCAAGCTAGTTGGAGAAAAACAGAATTTCATATTTATTCTGAATTCTGCAGTTCCAACTCTCTCGCTTAGGAATTCAACTTTCTTAAGCCCACAAAGATGAAAATTCAGAGGTGAATTCTGCCTGATAGCCAGGGAAGCAGGAGAGCACAGAGATTAAGAATATGAAGTGGCCTCAAACTAGACAAGTTCAAATCCACATCTACTTAATAGCTGTGTGACCCTGAGCAGATTATTTAAACTCAGATTTTTTTTCTTTGGTGAAGAACATTTGCCCTGAGCTAATATCTGTTGCCCATCTTCCTCTCTTTTTCTTTTGCTTGAGGAAGATTGTCCCTGAGCTAACATCTGTGCCAGTCTTCCTCTATTTTGTATGTGGGATGCCACCACAGCATGGCTTGATGAGTGCTGTGTAAGTCTGCGCCCGGGATCTGAACCCATGAACCCCGGACCGCTGAAGTGGAGTGTGCGAACTTAACCACTACGCCACCGAGCCAGCTCCTAAATTCAGCTTTTAAGAAAGGGAGGGTGTATGTTACCAACTCATAAGTGTTTCTGTAAGGATTAAGTGAACTAATTGTATGTAAAATGCCTAGCACATAGTAATTGCTGAATAAATATTATTGCTCGTAAGAAAATGTTCATCTTGATTCCAAGCAAGAGGGAGAAGCAGTTGGTTAAGCACTTTTCACCAAGTAGAGACTCTGTTAATGCTTCTGCAAATCCTGAATGACCAAGAGCAAAAGGGCAAGTTATGGTGTTGATCAAGAGAAATGTGTGAGGCGGGTAAACGCGCGTCCGACTTACCCCTAAAACCCCAAAGCGTTCGGCCAGGCTCCAACCACAGAGAAAGTCAATCTCAAACTTGTGGTTCAGAACCACGATGGCATTCTCCTTTCCATACTTGGGGTACGCCCGGGGGTCTGTGTGGATGATGCACTCCGTGCCCGACCACCACTCCAGCAGCATCACCAGCTCTGGAACAAACCACAACAACAGACAGACGTTTATTTCACGCATTCTCCATGGCCGAGGGGCGGCTCTGCTGGGCCGGGCTGGGAGCAAGGCTCTGCCCTCCTGGCTGGGGCAGAAAGCAACTTCTAGGAGTAAAGTCTGGATCATTTCAGCCCAGACCCCAGTCCTTGAAAGGGTTTCGAGGCAGAAGGAAAAATGAGAAATACTCCACTACAGTCTCTAGGGAAGGAGGGGAAGCTTTGAGAAGGTAAATGACTTGCATTCCTTGATTAAGTACCTTGGGGAAAAATAAATCAGAAAAGCTGAATCCATCAAGAATTCATGCCCTTGTGTTTACAGAGCTCTGAAAGGCAGCATGAGATAACGTACAGAATTCTTAATATCCTGGGAGATGACTAATTGGGACTTACTAATGACTTATAAACTCCATCAAAGAACACTAAATACCCAATTTTCTCCCCCATTTATGACACTTGAGTGCACCAGGAATAATGGAGAACTACAGTGCAAGGAAGCAGAAATACAGCATCTGAAGGGCAAGGATAAATTAGCGCCATTATCCCATAGGCCTAAATGAAACTATTAAAACATCCTTTGTAAGAGCTTGTGAAAATAGGAAAGTCCTTTTTCAGGCAATAATGACCAACTTGACTTTATTCTTCAGTGATACCTCTAATCCAGGTGACCAGTTCCCAGCCTGGTAGCTTCAGGAATAGCCTATATGGTAGAAATTGTCCAGAAAAACAGTTGAACATTGGTGATTAAAATATAGCTATATAGCAGCTTTGAAATGAAATTTTGAAGTTGAAGGTATTTGGCAGGTGGATGGGTGAGTCGTCTGTGAAGGTCATACCCCTCGTTTATCACCGGTTAATGGGGTACTCATTTAGTAGAGGACTCACTCACTCATCACCCACCCCACTACACACACACACACACACACACACACACACACACAAAGACAAGCAGGTGTGGTCTTGACTCTAGCCAAGCCTCATGTTTTAAAGCCTTGAGTGGCTGTCTTTGAAAACCTTTCTCCTTGAGGGTGGAGACTGATGCTTTTGAACTGGAGCACCAGAACTTTATAGAAGGCATTGCCATCTAGTTTCTAAGCAGTGAGCACTGTAAGACTTTGGACAAGTGAACCTCACGGCACCTCAGTGCCCTAATCTTTAGAATGGGGTTGCCTCACAGGGTTTTGTGAGAACTAAAGCTCACAGCACAGAATAAATTACCAACACATGCAGGCATTCGGTAGCTATCAGTAGCATTAAGAATATTCCCCTTCCTTGACAATGAAAAGTGTCTGCCTATTTCAAGGAGTGGAGAACATGCCAAGCCCCCAGTGAGTTGTCCCACAGGCAGTGACATTGGAGTGACCTAGAAGTGGCAACTCAGGGAAAAAAGGTAAATGTTTAGGGAGGGCTGGAGCACAACTGTCCTAGCAGGGCAGCCCTGCCTGCCGGGACAGAGGGACAGTTTGTCACCACTGGGTAAAAGCCGCTTCTATTGCTGCACTGATTTCCTCTAAGAGATAGATGGGCAGACCAATCGATTCCATTACTGACCACGGAGTACGGATAAGCCCCAAAGCAGAGCTACACGGGAGTCAGCAAGATGAAGCTGAACGGTCTCGTGTGACCCACATCCCGCTGTCACTCTGCAAATACCTCCGAATGCCTCTCCGTGCCCTACTCCTCGCTGCCCAAGGCCAGGCTGTGCGCCCAATTCAACTCTCCCCAGCGCCCTCCATGGCATTTATCACACTTGGGACGCAGCATGATAGTATCTCCCCTATTATAGACCACAAGCCTGTGAGGCAAGGGCTGCGTTGTTGGTTCACCCTAACTCTAGCCTTAACTCTAGAACCCTGCACAGTGCCGGCACCTTTATGCTTTCAGCAAACACTGTTTGGTGACCTGATGCGTGCATGCGTGATGCGAGGGACTGGAGATGTAACAGCAAACATCTGGGTCAGGTTCCACCATCCTGGACCCCACCGCCCAGCGGGAAGACAGTTACACACTCACAATGCGGGTGACGGGGAGAGGAGAGCCCTGTTCCTAGGATGGGTGATTGCTGAATACCGTGCTCACAGATTAGGGGGTCAGACACAGCCAGGCTCCAGTCCTGGGGGGGGGGTCCCTCACTAGTGGTGAGACTCGGCATGTTTCTCAAGGTCCCTTAAGTCTCAGTGTCCTCCTCTGTGAAATAGGGGTAGGAAAAGCTTGTAGAGGTGCTCTGGGTATTCGGTCCAATTATGTAACCAGGGCACCTAGTAAAATGTTGCACGAAGTAAGTAATCAGTGAGTAGCCAGCCTTTTATTACTATTACGTGCATGGAAATTTTATAGCACACAAGGCTCTGTGCCCACTGAAGGGCAGAGAGAAGGAGCGGGAAGAGAGAGACAGACAGAGACAGACAGACAGAGAGAGCAGTGACTTCTGGACCAGAGTAAGGAATTACGATTGATATTTCATAATAAAGGCAATGAAAAGTCATTTTTAAATAGGCACACAGCAGCACCTAATTTGCATTTAGAAAAGATCATTCTGGCTGAAGTGGGAACAGATTGGAAGAGTCGGGCAGAAGCACGGAGGCCAGTTAGGAGGCGATGGCAGTAGCCCAGTGTGAGGTGATGGTGGCCGGGACCAGGCAAGTGACAGTGGAGAAGGGGCTAACTTCTCACTCATCTCACTGGGCTGTTAGCAACACAACTGAACTCCAAATCTCACTGCATAGAAGAGGTTTCTTTCTTTCCCCCCCCCCCAAAGGTTTCCATTTTTTTTTATTCACAAGAGATTGTATTGTAAGAGAATTCAAATAATCCAGACATATATAGAGGAAAATGTTAAATTCCCTTGATGGCTTTGTAAGGTGTCAGTTAGGCTAGGTGGGACTACATTTCCCAGAATCCCCTTTCCTGTCTATTTCCAGGTAAGGGGGGCCACAGAGGACACGCTTGGGAGGTTTGGCAGGTGGAAGGCAAGCAGTGCCATTTTGTAGCTCTCACACATTGTTGCTGATCTGCTGATTCACCTCCTCAGCGTGAAGCAGCAGCTGGGCCTGCGACTGCTCCTCCTTCTCCCGTCCTCCTCCAGCTTCTCTGACTCCTGGGCCAGGTGTGTGTGTCTGCTCCCTGACTACACCATCCACGGCGGATGCAATGAGAACTGACACGGGTTTCAGTCTGTCCTCGTGGGGCTGCAGATTGTGCTTGGGGGTTCCAACCTCTTGATCGCCCCCATTTTACATCCACACGCCTTCCTGACTGCCTCCTGGGACTTTCAGCTCCAGCAAGAGCTGCAGAGACAACACCCTTACAGAGACAGCCTGACAGCCCTCACAGCTGAATAAGGCCGATTCCCTGCAGCCAGGCCCTTTACAGGTGTCTGCGTATCTGCCTGTGGCTCTGCTTCTCGGGTGGAACCCCGACGGGGCGCGTCCTCCTCCCCTCCCCCAACCCCACCCCCTTCTCCAGGGTTACCATTAAGAACAGTTTGGAAGGTAGCCTTCTAGTCCTTTTCCTAGGCATTTACACACAGACATGGACTCACATAGACAGACAGACAGACAGACAGACAGACACACACACACACACACACAGTTTTTCCGTCACAAATGAGTTCATACTTTATCGACCTTTGTAAACGTACATATAGTTATTTTCTCCCAATATTATATTTTGGATCTTTCCATGTTAATACATATACATAGTGACATTAGCAACTATTTACCGGGCTCTGGCTGTGTCCTCGGCACTGTTCCAAGGGCTTTTCACGTGGTGCTGTGTTGAAGCCTCACATTAACCCTATGAGACTGGAGACACTATTATCCCATTTTAAGGATGAAGACACAGAGGCACAGGGATAGCTCTCATTCTCTGTTCAATATATGAAATTGCCATTTTTTAGGTCAAAAATAACCAGAATGGCAATTTTATAAAGGGTAACACCACAGCTGCACAGCGTTCATGCTATGGATATACCTTGATTTATTTAGCCATTCTGCCATTGATTAGCATTTTTCCCTTGATTTTTTACTGTTACAAACATTGCAATAAATATCCTTGAAAATGCATGTTATAAAAAACATATTTGTGAAAGTATTTCTACAACATAGGTACACCAAAATGTAGAATTATAGATTGAAGAGTATGCATATTTTAAATTTATATGGATATTTCCAAATTGCCTTCCGAAAAGATCCTACCAGTCTATGCTTGAATCAACAGTGTGGGAGAGGGTCGTTTTCCTGCTGCCGGGACTTACACTGCAAGCTCCTTGAAGGCTGGGACCTACTGTGTCCTGCAGCTCATATTCCTATAGAGTACGGAGGAATTCTTGTCAACTACCTTGTGACATCCTCCAGGCAGCACCCACGTCTCATTCATCTTTCTATCTCCCGCTTCCTTGCCCCAATTTCCAACACATTGCAGGTACTCAAACAGCTTTTGCCTTTAGTGGACTGATGCTGGCTGATGTTTTAGTTGGATGTTCCTATGTAAATATCTGCATGCAACTTACAAATATCTCCATGAACTGGGGTTTCATTTACACTCCTATGTGGTTGCTCTCAATGCTGGGGGCCAGGGCCTGTCTCTGGCCTTCTCTCAACAGCTTCACAGCTGACTGCCAGCCAGCCTCATCTTTTGTATGGATGAGCATCTGCCTATCGGGGCTGCTCTTTGAGGTGGGGCATCTGTCACTCAAGTTACACACACTCTGTACCATCATGCGTCGAATGTCAGGGCTTTCCAGCTGCCCAGGGATCAGGGCAAGTGGTGGTGCCCTCGGTCCTCATGTCCTGGGGTTCTGTGAGGTCTGTCAGGGGCTCCCTCAACATTAACACACGTTTCAGGCTGTTCTGCCCACTCTCACCCCCTGCCCAGGATGCTGGCAGATCTCGGAATTGCTCTGGCCCTCTCCCTCCATGGAAATGGTGGTGCCATTTCCTTTCAAAGGACACATCCTTTGGAACCTCCAATCTAACTGAGAAATTTGCCAGAGGGCACAGGCACCTATGCAGAGATCCTGCTCAGAAGCCAGGGGCAGGTGAGAAAAGCAAAGGAGGCCTGGGAGAAAACAGCATCCTTCTATTGTTTATTTAGGGGGGAAGTCACTTATTAAGAGTTTCAGATTGCAGTCCTGTCAGCTAGCATTATGACGTCAGGAGTCAACAATAAATGCTACCAAGGTAAAGATATGGAAGCAAAGAGAAAGTCTTTGCCCCCAAGCATTTACCTCCTTGTGTGGGTATCCAGCCTAACCCACACTCAGCAACCAGGAAAAAGCAACTGAAACTTTTACCTAACAAGAATTGGAGCCAATAGTTGAGTAGTTCATTGAGAAAGAGTAAAGCTAGCAATTAAAACAATACATCAAATCAAAATTGAAGAAGAAGGGGGAAGAAGGAGGGGCTCCTTCTGGCACCGCAGAGAAGACCCCCAAGGCTGCAATGACTGGTCCTGAGAGGGGCCCTCAGTGGGAGAATGCTGGAAGGGAAGAAACCAGGCCAGCGAAATTCCAACGATCTAGAGGTTCCAGGGTCTTCCCCTGAACCGTCGAAGACCACCATAACTCAGCAATGGCGTCTTGACCTCTAGAGTGAGTGCACGGTCTATCTGTGGACACGTCCCTTCAGGACACTGCCCCACACATGGCTGAGCACAGGGAGGGCGTTCTGTCCAGGCCCCGGTACAGCACGTGGAGACAAGACTGCCGAGGTCCCTGCTCAGGAAGGCCACTTGGGAGAGTGGCTGGGACTTGACTGCTCCAAGGTCAGGTGCTGCCAGGTAAAGAAAACAGCCAGACACAGATCCACTGACCTCCACGCTCCAGGTGGCTTCCCGGGCCTAGCCCTCCTGTGCGCTGTTATTGTTTAGTGAGCCAGGGAGATTGCCCCCCTGGGGCCGAGTCATCCAAGGGGGTCTCGGTGGTCCTAATGTCCAGGAAACAGAAAAGGCAAAGAGGAGAACAGAGAACTCTGGAGCGTGGAGAAGCCCCTGTTGTTCCTCAGTGTTGGCCCCATGGAACGCCTCGTTAACTGGAGCACTAAGGTGACTCCATACGTTCCTTCGAGATGTCTGTAACTGATGACCCTTGAGCGGGGCCGGCAGTCCTGGAACCCCTTCACTGGACAGTATTTGATCCCCTTGGGCCCTGCCCCCGTCCAGGAGCCTGTGATGGGACTGAGCCCGGGGACCCAGGTTGGGCTTGTGACTCTGATCTGGCCAATTGGCCTCTCCAGGGAAGGTGAGTGGCCTTTTGTCCCATTTTGAAATGCTCAGTTTGCCAAGTGTTGCCGTCTTTGTTGTTACTGCGGCTGCTCCCTGAGGGCAGGGTGGCCAGCCTTCCTTCTGGCAGCTCAGCCAGCCCTGGACTCTGCTCTTGGGCCACACCTGGCTCTGGCCAGTGCTGCTGCTCATTTTGCAAACTCCACTTGGAGACGCCTGGGGCCATTCCCAGCTACCTGAGGTGATGGCCAGGGAGGGACCCTTACTGCAAAATCCCTGTCTGCTGCCCATGATTTCGGGGCCGATGGAGGGACCAAACCCAGGTGGCTATAAGGACCATGGTCTGAGATTTGTCTGTACATATTTGCTGACGCTGCTAGCTTAATCACAGGTAGAAAACAAGAGGTAGATGGACAAAAGGAAAAGCGAGGGGAGGAAGAGAGGTACCTATTTTGTGTGCATAAAGCAGGAGGAAGATGAGGAAAATGGTAACAAACAACGTTTACTGAGGTGGCTCACAACGTCCCATGAGAGCCACTGTCACTGTCCCCATTTTATAGATGAGGACATGGAAACACTGAGGCGAGGCAGCTGGCCAGGAAGTGGGTGTGCTAGGGGTGGAACCCAGCCAGGGGGACACGAGGCCCATGAGGACTCTCCAAGGTTGCCAAGACACTGAAAACCGTGATTATATGGGGGGAGGGGAGAGGGAGAAAGAGAGCATTTAGGAGGGAGGGACATAAGAGGAAAGATAGAGTGGAAGGATCACCTTTGACTTCAGGCAGACTGGTCAGTTCCTTATCTCTAAAGACACCCAACTCAAGGGTTGGTTGTGAAAGTTAAATATGCAGAAGTATTTAACACATGCCTGGCATGGACCCAGTGCCTTCCTTCTCCCAAATATTACTGCTACGAATGATGATGTGGCAATGACAACAAAAGAAAGAATTAAGGGACAGAGACAAACAGGCAGGAAAGAAACGAGCAGCACATCCACCGAGTGTTCGCATCCAGGCAGCCCCAGTCCTACCCTGTCCTCAGCCCTGACGCCTCTCCAGACACGGCGGATGCTACGCAGTCACAAGCTCCATCCTAGTCTGGATCCCAGGAGTCCACACACCCCCTGGGAACCCCCACGATGCTTCTATCACAGCCACGAACTTTCTGTGGCTCAGGCAGATGGGGGCGCGAAGGCTCCCTCCTTCCTCACCAAGCCTTTCACCCAAGTGTCTGCTCACTCACAGCTTGATAGGACTGTCACTTTCTCTCTTCTCCGCGGCCCCTTCTGGCAGAAGCGCCGAGGAGAATCCTAACAAGACAGGGAGGCAGAGGTCCTGCAGAAAAGACCTCGACTATTGATCAGAGTTCATTGTTCAAACACACGTGCACAGCCAGAATCTCCCACGTCTGTAGATATGGGAGAGAGGCGACCAAGGAAAATGGTACTTTTATAATTAACTTTATCTAATTTTAATAATTATATAATTACATACAATCTCTAAGATAAGTGTATACAATTATGTATTTATAATAGCTTTTTATCATTTAACTTTGATAATAATTTAGGTTAAAAATAAAACCTCTCCTCTTCAAAAGCCTCTAAAATGCAAAATTTAAACACTGAAATTTCTAGTGTGTGAAGGATATCGCTTCCCTCCTGTGCTGAAGGCAGAGGACCTTCCTCTCCCCTGGGCTTGACTGCGCTGGGGGCTGGGGAGAGACAGACAGCACGCTCTTTTGCACCTGTATGATGCCCTTCACCTGGAGGTCACTCATCAAATTATAGGTGCCGACCCGGCACTCTCCGGGCCCTGGACAAAAATTGGAATAAAAACATGAAATTGAGCAATGAGGAGCGGCTGATAAACAGAAAAGTTTTGTCCTGGCTCTTGACGCCAGAGTCTCGCTGCAGGTGCTGGGCTGCACACAGGAGCTGGGCAGTCCCCAAGGGAGCCCACGGAGATGCTGCGAGAGGGAGTGGAGTTAATGACCAAATGCATCTTTCATGTTATAGCCCTTGATGCAGAGTCTGGGATTTCCAATCTGCCCCCAGCTGCCTCCTGGTCCCCATCCACCTCTAGACTAGTCTAGTCTAGTCTAGTCCGCCTGTAGGGTCTAGTGTGGAGCCAACCAGGCCCTCCTCCCCACACACAGCTGCCGCTGTCCAGCTCCACACTTGGCTGGAGTGAGTTCCTCCCCGCCTAGCCACACCCCGTGGACCACGCTTACCACTTCCTTTCTTTTCCCCACTTCTGTCTTCCCTACCATGCCTCACCCATCCTTCCAGGCTCAATACATGCCCATGTTTCCATGAAATCTCGGATCCAAGGCCACACAGACACGGGTCTTCCTCGCTCCCTGACACTAAGTGTGCTTTACTTATTTGGGCACCTGCTTGTATGTCATTCTGAATGATTTCTAGTTAATTCACCAGCACATGCCCTTCTGCCACACCAGATTTCAGTGCTTTCTTTCCGTGACCCCACCTGGGAGTCCAGTTGTACTCGAAACCTTTCAATCCACATCCCAGAGTCTTCTAAGCTTTCCTGCTTACATGCCCAGGTCATCGAAAAATGGTGAGGCAAGAAGCCCATGAACAGAAACACAGTATACCTGGGCTATTAAATTTTCATGGGAACGATTAGGAAAATAATATCTAAAAGGGCTCCTTAGAGGGGGCTGGAACGAGACAAAGTCTGAGAAGCCCTGCAGTACATCTCTGAGATTGATCTGCTACGAGCTGGCATCATATGAAGCCAATTCCTCTTGACAACACAGCTTCCTCCATCGCTGTCCTCCTCCCACCCCTCGTGAAGTGCCTGTTTCTACACTGGCTTCACTCTTGGCAGAATATGGAAGGAGTGGACTCGACCTGGTATGTTCTTGGAGCTCAAATCTTAATGAGCTAATGCTGCTACGTTGTAACCTTTCTCGAGGCCTTGAGATGGCAGATCAGGGCAATGAGTGGCCATGAAAACATGTGCCTGAACGGGGGGGCAAAAGTGCTGCTCCCTTCCCCACGTACATCCTCACAAACGAGGAGAGGGGATTGGGTAACCGATTTCGAGAGAGAGGTGGACCAACGACAGGCAGTATAGATACCACAGCGTTTACCGTGTGTATGAACATGGAGTGAATAACGCAGGAGCGGAAAAGCTGCTTTCTGTCAAGTGGAGTCACCAGTCTGCTTCCAATTATTGGGTCAAGCTTTCAGAAAGAGGCAAATGTCAAGAAATATGAAGCCCTATGCTTCCCACCTTCAATCAAAACCCTCTAGTGGGAGGAGAGGGAAAGGAAGGGTCTAGAACCCAGCCCCCA